CATCCAGTCGAACCTGTGACCGAACACCACCTTGTCAACCAGACCGTGGCACTGAGCACCACATCCAGTCTTTCCTTTAACGCCTTCAGGGACAGTGACTCCACCACCTCCCTGGGCAGCCCATTCCAATGTCTAATCACCCTTTCTATGAAGAAATTCCGCGTAATGTCCAACCCAAACCTCCCCTGTGCGGCTTGAGGCCGTGTCCTCCTGAGACCTTTCAGGCAGCTGTAGAGAGTGACAAGGTCCCCCCTGAGCCTTCCCTTCTCCAGGCTGAGCCTCCCCGGCTCCCTCAGCCACTCTTCACAGGACTTGTGCTCCAGACTCTTCCCCAGCTCCAGCGCCTTGCTCTGGACCCGTTCAATGTCCTTCGTATCGTGAGGGGCCCAGAACTGAACACAGGATTCAAAATGTGGCCCCACCATTGCCCAGTACAGAGGGACAGTTGCTGCCTTGGTCCTGCTGGGCACCCTGTTTCTGATACAGGCCAGGAAGCCCTTGGCCTTCTTGCCCACCTGGGCACACCTGGGCTCATGTTCAGCCGCTGTTGACCAGACGGGACCACTGAGCCGATGGTGGTCACTCCCTCAGCGTCCTACCCTTCCCCACCACTGGGAGCTGGGAAAGCTGCAAACAACTGTGTGCAGTACCTGGGGTGTATGTATAACCCAGGCAAATAGCAAAATGGGTCCTAATCCTGGGGGGGGATCACTGAGGTGTAATTTAGGGTGTTGAGTCCAGCTTGGGCACTGAACCTGAGGAAAGGTGGGGCTTGTGGACAGGCCAGCCCTCCTCATGGGGTCTGAGGCCTGGGAAATGTGATTCTCGAGGAAACACTGGACAAGTTGAATTTATTTAGCCAAAAGAAGACAAAAGGACTAGGAGTGTTCAAGCATGTAAAAGCACAATGTGTAAAGAGAGAATAATCCATTTCCCTCAGTATGACAGGAATAGTGAGAAGAAAGAGGCCTAAATTGTAACCTGGACAGTCCAGGCTGTCATCTCTAAAACATTAAAAATCCTACAAGGATGGGAATAGAGGTCTTGGGAGATCATACACACTTCAGTTGGAGTCTCCAGGAACAGCAGCAACAACATCTCTCAGAAATTCCACATCGGTTGACCGTGGATCAGAGCAGAGAGCTGAGCCAGGAGGTCCATGAAGGTCCCATCCAAATCCCTTCTACTGCCATGGGGCGATAATGAGCTTGATTATTATTTATCAGTCTGAGTTCCCACAGCTGCCTCCTCAGTGTGTGGCTGAGCTGAGCGCTGTGATACCACACCTGACATCAAATCCTGCTGTTCTGGTTCGATGCCAAATCAGACACCACATCAGAGGAGTGTCCTTTTACAACCTATTTCCTCAGATATTAATAACGGCATTAAACGCAAAGAAGTAGAAAAACAGGTCAGTAATGTCTGCAGAGTCTAAAATACCTCAGGACACTTAGTGCAAGGTCATATGAAACAGTTAGAACACTCAAAAAGTCATATCTGGGTACTACTAAAGCAAATGACTGTCACTTTAAAATCCAAATGCAGGGTATTTGAATGTAATTATCTTTATAAGTGAATTGTTGCTCAGTTTTTTCCCTTACTCAAATCCACATGCCAAAATCAACAATTTTTATAATGGAAGGGTAATCTTTGCATGCAGGTCTTAGGGCTCAACTGTCTCGTATGCAGATTAAAATTTTTACATGGGATAAAAACAAATTTAGGAGAATGTGTCAAAAATGGAAGCCTATCTAAATAAAACTCCTGTGAATACAGTTATTCTAATAGTGTATACCTGACATGCATTAGAGTAAAGAAAATTAAGGGTTCTTCAAGTTGGGCAGTGATTTATAAAACTGAAATGTAGAAATCTCAAAAACGTACAGTAAACACCAAATGGATAACTTCACTTGCAAGAAATAACTTTTCAGAAACTGTTTTTTGTGCTGCTGGATGACTGTTCTCATGCTGACAGTCTAACAGGACCAGATTTACACTTGCAGATCTCATAGAGAAGAAGTCATGTGGAACGTGACCTTCTAACATTAATTCCTTTGTGACCAAAAGAGTGGCTCCAAACAGATTAGTGGCAGACTGCATGCAATTTGGCTTGAGGGGAGGGAGGATTTTCCAAGAAAGTCAGAAAGTTCATCACATAAAAAAGGTTTTATATAGCATGACTTATATTCTAATGTAAAAATAGCTTCAGTGATACTCCCTTTTAACTTAAAATAGTGATGTATTTGTTATGCACGTGGTTAAAATAATGGTGTGAACAAAAGAGCCTCTTTTTTTTTTGTTCCCTGCATCCATACCAGAGTGATCTTGAATTTATTATATGACTGGTTTAATTGTGTGCTGCAAAGTGTCTGGCTTGTATTTTGACACAGAGAAGAATACGATTTCCTGTGTTTTCCCTCCTGCTGGGATTCTGATTTTTTTCCTCACGTAGAAGATATGACTTTCATGATAATAAACTTGCTCTTGCACATCTATGTTGAGTTTGTGATTTGGAGGCTGTTACAGTTGTTTAGGCACTGAAAGGTATAATGTGATACACTTGTCAACCCTTGAGATGTGCAGCAAAGAGGGTTTTTGGGGTGTTAGTAGTGCATTAGAAAAAGAAGACAAAGTATCTTCAGTGCTACTTCAGAAACGAATCAAATCTTATTTCTGTTTTGATTGCTTACAGGATTTGCTTTGGCTACACACGCCACAAGCAGTAGGACAATTCACATTTTGTATATGTGATTTATATAAATACTGGTGGGAAATTTGACATTTAAACCAATAAAGGGTACTAGACTTAACTCACTATTAGATTTTTTAATGGAAAGACATTTCTTATACGGGCAGGAAATTGCAATAACACGTTTACTGATTTATGGCAATATTTTACTCTTGGATCTTCAAAATGAACTGTCGTAGCTCTTCACAGTTAATAGAATTGGAGGTGAACCAGGGAGCAGTACAATGCTGTCACAACGGAAGGGACCAGACAGCACAGCAGGCAACCTCCACCAACTGGGGCTCTGCTCAAACTATTGTGTTCATGGAAACCCAGGTGGGTTAATCTCATTTCTTTCTGGTTGAAAGAGGAGTTTTGAAAATGCACCAGTATTGAAAGGAGAAATAACAAATCTAACGATGGTCCTACATAAATCTCAATCCACTAAGAATCATTAATTTGACCTCAGTGGGGTTGGGATCAGAGCAATTCCAATTTCATGTGACAGCTGTTAGGAATGATATTCCCGGGGAGGCCCCTCATTTACCCGATGTATTTTCAGTTTGTCTGAGTGGTCAATGAGGTTAAATTTATTTTACAGCTTTCTATTATCTGTGTTGAACAGTTATTAAAATTTGTATCGATCCACCTCTTATGAAGCGTTGCTTCCTTTTCTTTTTCCCTTAGAAGTGTTCTTTGTGAGTTGGGCCCTCAAGCACAACAAGTGCTCTTTCTCTTTTCGTATAAAACTTTCACAGGGCTTGTTTCCTGATCCTTCCCTCTTGCAGGGTTTGTGGATGTTTGCCTCAACTTCTGGGAATCACAGAATCATGGAATATGCCGAGTTGGAAGGGACCCATCAGGATCATCGACTCCAACTCCTGGCCCTGTGTAGGACACCCCAAGAGTCACACCGTGAGCCTGAGACTGTTGTCCAAAAGCTTCTTGAGCTCTGGCAGGCTCGGTGCTGTGATCACTGGTAACAGTGACTTCCGTCTGCCAGGCTTCTGTGATAATCAGAAGTTGGAAAGTTGTCAGTACTATCCGGGCGGGCAGGGTAGGAGAGAGAGGAACGCGAACGCTCTCGCTGCCGACCCGCCCAGACCCAGAGCCGCAGGCCCGACCCTCCGCCCTGGGCGCCGACTCCTCCGCCGCCGGGGCCCGGAC